AAAGCTAATAGCTGAAAATAAATTAGAACATTGGGGATTGAGATCCCAAAGCCTCTTTATCTCCCAGTGCCCTCATGTGCTGAGGAGCAATTTCAAGAAGTGTAGTAGTTGTGAGTCCCATCTTTGCTAGTCCATCAGCAAGTTAGTTGCATTCTCTTTGAAAAAATTGAAGCCTGATATTCCACATCAGAGCCAGGAGCCTTTTAATTTCCAGTAGAGTAGTGCTGCAAGTAACCCTTACGCCTTTATCTCCAAGGATAGAGTCAATAAGATTTTTACAAAGTAATCACCCTCTCATGTCAACCACGAAAAACCTGCACGACCCACTGAAAATCTAGTCCTCGTGTGGAGCCCAAAAAAGGGTAATCTTCGGCATATGATTAAAAAATATGTTTAACTATTAATCAAGTACATGATAACAAACTTCAAATTCAAGATAATAAACTTCATTTAAAGAGAAAATTCCAAGTATTACCTTCGGTCCTTAATATAAGATCCCGTTTGATTTTTGTATTTGTTCTAAATATAAGACCCCAATCCATTTTGTCTCTCATATTTACTCAATTTTTTCTAAATAGTCCTTCTAATAATTATAGTTTTAGCCAACATACTTGATTAGTAAAGATATTTTAGGAAAGACAACACCTATTCGTTACAAATAACTAACTTAACTTCTTTTCTTAATTTCCTCAAATTAGTCGATTGGCTCTTATAGTTAGAACCGGAGGTAGTATGAATGAACACTAAATTAATCAAGTACATGACAACAAACTTCACTTCAAATTCAAGATGATAAACTTCATTTAAAGAGAAAATTCCAAGTATGAATGAACACTAAACTAACTTTATTTCGTGCCATATGGTTAATTTATTAACATAGTGGGTTACTAGGGTTATTGAGATGATAATAAGTGTGTCACTTCGGGGACATCCGATAAAACTTGAACGTTACAGATATGACAATAAGCATGCTGCTATCTAATGAACCTTCTGGTGTCACGTATAATCACAAGGCTGTGTGTGGGGGTGTTTTGTTTCTGTGATTAATGACAAAAAGTCAGTGAGGATAATGGCAAGTGATTATTGTGCCTTGTAAGCTTCATCTTCAAATTAACATGTAATAGCAAAAACATTATTATCAGTGACATTATGGCACTAATAATTATAAATTATATATGGATTGGTGCTAACATCAACAAGCAGGCGAGCTTGTTGCTGAATCTTTTTGTCTGGTTTTGATGCTGACTGATATAGATTTTTCCATTTCATATCCAGTTAATTATGAATTAACTCTAGAAGTATCAATTACTGATGCAAAATATATAAAACATTCTAAACTATATATGCTTGGTTTTTTCTTCCTAAAACATTTGAAGAGGCTCCTGCATGTTCTGTCACCTCAAGCTTAAAAAACCGCTAGAAAAAAAGTCTTCATGATTTAATTAAAAAAATTTCTACATATGATTTCTTCCTCTTCTTGTTTTTTTTCCCCCACCGGTATCATTATAATGCCATTATTTCTTGAAATACAAAGCAATATTCTAACAATTCTGGAGACAAGTAGGGCTGATTAATAGTAGAATTTTCCTTTTGCATTCCGAACATAACAAACCATACCTAATCAATTTGTGTTGCCATGGGGAAAGATCAATAATTTAGTACTAATTGTTATATTAATTATAAAAGTTATATATAATTCCTGAGCTGGATCAGACCAAGAAAGACTCGAAATTCTGAGAAACGAAACCAGATATGAAAAACAGTGGGTTGCTTGGGGACAAGCAAGACGCTCATTAATTGTTAGCAGGCTGTGTTCTCTAGTGCCTACAGGGTCCCTACCATAATTCCTTTTTATCATAACTTGTTTCTTCCATGATATATATATATATATATATATATGATCATATCAACTTTGTATCAGGCTTCAAAGTGTCGCTGTCTTCTCATTATTTAGATTTTTATATTCCCATTTATTATTGTCTTATGATCTCAATTCGAACGTTGTTTTTTAAAGTAAAATTTAAGTTACATTATAGTGATTCAAAATTTAATATGAGTTTATTACTTATTAAGTCAACCTTGAGATTTACTTGTTCTATGTAACACGGGATCCACCATCGCCAATTTTGCGTGTATGATTATTATCTATGAAGGCTTCCTCCAATTTTTTTTATTTTTTTATAAATACTCCTCTGATATTATTTATAAGGTACTTCTAATATATTTTATAGAGATCAGAAAAAATCTTAAAATGTATTAACTCTATATTAAAATATAACAATTTTTTAATTTTATCCCATATTTAATATATACATCTTTGAAAAAAGATAATTATTTACACTATAATAAATGAAGAACAAAATAATATATTCATATAAAAAAATTAATAAAACAACTTATAAATAGGATAAAAAATTTTTTCTCTCTTTATTTTATAAATAAGACAAGAGGAATAAATTTTCAGGTGAAAGGGGTGACGGCCGGTCCAAGGCAAAAAAGGTTGAGAGATTTCATTCCCTTTAAATTCGTCGAATTATTTTCAATTGAGGGGGACAATATTCGAATATGATTTGATCGCATTAAATGATAGATAATTATATCAAAATAAAACAAACACAGTGGGGAGAGAGAGATTTTGGGCTAAGTCTTACTATTCGTTGGGCCATCCAAAAACATTATTTAATAAAAGGAGATGGACCCAAAATTGAGAGTTAAGTTGGTGAGCTGCAAAAGCAAGCTGGGGGCAATGTAATAAAAAAGGATTTTAATTTGGTATGTTTGATAATTAATATGAATTTGTGGGGACTCAAAAGTCAAGGGATGGATGTGAGGCAAAAGAGGGATGGGTTTGAAGCATAATGTTTGTCCCCCGCACACAGCTTCTTTTACTTGGGATCAAAGCCCCCTGGCTCAGTCCTCCCGTCCCCATTCCTGTGGGTCATCTTGATCTTGGCCCTTCCCATTGGGACCCACCCTTCTCCGCCCAAGCCTGATCTTCCCTAACAAAAATCTTTTTGACTTGGGTGAATTTCAAATAAACATGTAAATATTACCCCCCCCAAAAATCTTAAATATAATCGAAGCGTTTTGCTTTGGTTTCAAATAAATATTTTTTCTCAATTTATCCTTATTGATTGTATATATATTAAATAGATTTTTTTTTACCAATGTCTTGTCTTAAAAAATTATTACATCCAGTCTTTAATTTGAGACTTAATTGATTAATTTGTAGAGATTAAGAAAATCACTAAATTACTCTTAAGTATTTATATAATTTATTATTTTTATCCAAACTAATTCTCCTCACTTATAATTTAATATATAATCTAATGATATATATAAGTATTTTAGAGAGATCATGCAACATATACTATAATTAATTAATTTAGTAACTTTTTTAAATTCCTCAAATTAATCAATTCGATCTTATATTAAGACCTGAAAGTAGTATAACTATGGTTTTACGAGGTGCCTATTGAGCTCCTCAATGTAAAACAACAAGATTAGGGTCAACCAAGAAGGTGATGAGAGCTTGTGGAGCTTCTTTGCCAGATGGTAGCTACCAAAAAGCTAGATATGCCCAAAATGACAATGACACTTTCAAGCTATAATAACACCAAAAAGATCAGATCTCGCCTTTAATTGCCAATAAGTAATTACCAATTCCTAATTTGAAGGGGGGGTGGTCAAGTGAGAAGCAGAAATTGATAACTATTCCAAAGCTGACCATTCACTAAAAAACGATCCATAATTTGTGCACTAACTTGAACGCTTGGCACAATCAATCACATGATGATATGTAGTCTTGCTGGGTAAAAGATAACTCTATAAAACTTGGCACTAATTAATTGCACAAAGAATCTTTTCTATTTCTTGCCTGAGGTTATGAGTATTTTCCCAGAAAATCCAAATTTGTTGATGCCTCCCCTTTTGACAAAGCATTAAATGTGGGACTCAATTTTAGAAGGCAAATGGAGGCTCAACCCTTACCCACTTGAGTGTACTGCGGAGAGAACAATGGGCTGTGTACTACGGGATATGGCTTTTGCCTCATCAGTCATCTGTCACAAAAAGCATTACTTTCTGTCTCTCTGTCTCTACTGGAATGCATTTTCAGATTGTGAGAGGTACTGTTCTATGAAATAAATATGATAATATTCAGTGAAATCTTATTATTATTATAAGGATCAATTAGAAGAAACTGATCTATTAAGGCACTATTTCTATTCATGATATGTAAACCCTTAATTTTGTTCAAGAAAGATCCAATCCCATTCCATGTCAACAAGTTAATATCGTTGGTGTAGAATAAATTTTAGCTTAGTAAATCCGTTCAAAACCTTTAATCAGACCAGTTGAGACACTTATTCGTCAATTTACTAGTTAGATGGAGAGACCCGATTTGAGATTTAATACTATGGAATTGAGTTTGATGTGGAGAGTGGTAGTTTGTCTTTTGACCAAATTATAAAATTAAAGAGAAGGCATGTTCTTGCTCTGAATAATATTTCAATAGACCTTTCATGAAGGACTTAACAAAATTTAATGGTTAACCAAACTTAATTAAAATGTTATGTTGAGTTCAACAGCTTTATGATCGCCAAACTAAAGCTGTGTCCGTATATAATAATTTAATAGATCACTAACAAACCTTATTAAAAAAATAGAATACTATTCGATCAATGTGAACTCATAAAAATGAGAAAGTAGACAATAAATCCTTACTATCTACAAAAAAAAAAGGAATAATAGAAATAAAATGGAACAAATTGATGCAGCAATGATTAATTTGATTTATTAATGTTTTTTTTCAATAGATTAGTCTTTGCAGATAATAATATCTGAAAGGATAAATTAAAAGATGAGTTGTTTATATCACTAAGAAATGTTTGGTTGCAAATTGACCCCACACTTTATATCACTGGAGAACAACGACACAGCGCCAGCCTCTTCCTCCATCAGTCTCTCTCTTACAGTCTCACCCTCCTTTAAAAGCTCCATTACCATCATTTTCTGAGTGTGTTTTAAGCCTCTCTTCTTTTTGTTCATTCATCTCTCTCTCTCTCTCTCTCTGAATCTGAATTTAACAGCCAGACCCATGAAGAAGTTCAATCTGATTATCAGAAAATGCAGGAGTCTATCAACGAAGCTAACAAGATCTTCATCATACAGCAGCCTGAGGTCCAAATCTGCAAAAGAAGACAAATGGGGAAGACAAGAAGAAGCAGGAGAAGGACAAGAATGTGAGACTATATATGTTGGAAGTACGAGGAAAAGGTATGTGATAAGCTCGAAGTACTTGAAGCATCCTATAATGAATGCTCTAATGGACAAGTCTAAAACAGATCAGGAAGGAAGCCATGGGAGAGGAATAATGGTGGTGAACTGTGAAGTGGTTCTGTTTGATCATTTATTGTGGATGCTTGAACATGCAGATCCTAAGCTTGGGTCTGAGTCATTGGAGGAACTGGCTGAGCTCTATGTGTATTGAAGACATTTGAAGAAGAAGAAGAAGAAGAAGCAGATGCAGATGAAAAGCCTACTGTAATGTTTTTAGATTGTGCTTGCATCTTGCAAATTGTGTATTAATGGCTAAGCCTCTTTCTGTTTTTTCCTTTTTTCACTTCTGATTTTTGTTACTGTTACTGATCTACTGCTAAAATTAATGCAATAACTTCATCCATAAAGATCTAATTTTCATGTGCTTGATGAACACTATGAAATTGATCAAGTGAGTATTTAATGTAACTGTAGTTTTAGTTGAGGATGACTTATAGATCCTTTTTTCTGCTTTGATTAATAAGTTGTGTTTTGACTATTTTATAGGGTCTTTATAACAGATGACACTATTTATGACATATATGATCAATAAATAGTGTGATTTGCTGTCAAGTTTAAATTTTGTATTAATAATGAACTAAACGCATTTCTTTGCATTTTAATGTGGAGACAGAGAAGGTTAAAAAGAAAAAAAAAACTGTATACTTAGTTTTACAGACTCAAGATACTTTTGGTTCCAATGAAATAAAGACATGTAGATTTTTAGAATTTTTTTTTTCCTGTGCCAAACTCTTGTTATTAATATTATTAATACCTTAAAATCTATTTATTATAATTTAATTGGATGAAAGTTTATTAACTCATTAATTATATAAGTTTATATAAGGATAAATACTTCCCCATTAAGAAACGAATGACACTTCTCATTATTGTGAATAGTAAGATTTGCGGTAAATTATTGATATTGATGATGTAATATATTTTGCCAACATCGATAAAAGTTTGCCATATCTTGGGAAAGCAACAAGATCTCTTGTGCTGTTCTAATGATTTTTTTTTTGGGTTAAAAGTATTACTCCTTCAACTTTTAATATATGACCTAATTCTTGAATTAGTTTTGATTTTAAATATAAGACCTATTTATCATATTTATTAATTTTCTCTAAATTATTCTTATGGATACTCCCTCAATCATAATCAAATAGAAGATGGAGAGATGTATTAAGAAAGATGATTATGGTGTTTGAAGAAAAATGTGTCACTTTTCTTATAATTAACTAACTTACCTAACTTCTTTAATCTAATCAAATTAATTAAATGAGTCTTATATTAAAGACCGGAAGAATATAATAAATGTAATAATGTTGGAAGAAAAATCTAATAATAGTGGGTATGTAGATAAACAACTAAATATCGTGTTCATTCCTTTAGGTTAAATTAAAATGTGCTAAAAAAGACTTTTAAAATGCAATTCACCTAAACTTAAAAAAAAAAAAAGATAAGAGAACCACAAGGTTTTAAGCATTTAGAGTACTGTAATATTTATGTCATGCCATTATATTGAGTTTGAACTAGAGCATGATTTGGTAATGAGATTTAAGAGTCATTAATTAGGATTGGATTTTTTTTTTGGTTGTATAGTGGAAATATGTCTAGCACAATAATAGTTTGTTTGACTCCAAATCAGAATTAAAAATCAAACTTACATAAATTTTAGGTGAAATAGAATTTAAAATTAGATCAAATCTAGATGAAGTGTACCAAGAGATCACAAGAAATTATAATACGTCTGTATATAGTAAGAATTCAGTGTAGGCGTTTGGCAGCTTGAGATTCTCATGGCGTTGAAGAGCTATACACACACATACATACGTTGTCTCCTCAACCAACAAATTAGGGTCACAGGATGAAGTCAATGGACCAGTTTTGAAATATATGGTACATGCGAATGGTTTAACATGTATTTGAAAATTAAGTTATTTTTATTGATAGAAATGAGATATCATTTTTTTTAATTAAAAAGTGGGATGCGAATTTTGAAAGAATAACACATACATTGTTTTTATTTAGCCAAAACAGCAGATTTAATTTTGTGTTTTAAATGCTTACAAAGGTGCGACAGTAGCCCTTTTTACTACTGTTTACACTAACATTATCAATATCAATCAACATGAACTATGAAATTTATAAAAATATACTATTTATAAACTATAATAGTTTGGATTTTTAAGTTATACACGGCCTTCTTTTTAATTTTTTTTAACATGACTTTATTGTCTTCCATGCGTTTTTAAATTATTTAAATATTTTGAAATTATTTAAGAGGGGTGTTTTTGATTGAATTCAAAAGAAATTCGAACCAGACTCAATAATACTAAATACCCAATAATTATATAAAAATATTAAAAATGGGTATTGAGAAACACACAAGTATTGAAATAGACTGAGTTCTTTATATTTATTATGTCAAGCTCTCCATTTACATATAGCCATGTGTTTTATTTTTGAAATATTAGTATTTAATAGCATTTAATAATAAACTTAAATAGAAAAAGATAAAACACATGGTTACGTGTGATTGGAGAACTTAACGTAATAGATATAAGTAATTTGAATTAAGTATTTTTTCCATTGAAATATTATAAAACGTGTATTAAGAACATTCAAAATTGCTTTCGTTGGTAAGAAGGAAAAGAAATAAATGCTGCTCATAATTTTTTTTTTCCAGGTTTTCATCCAACTTGGTTCTTTTTAACAATACCTTAAATATTTGAGGCTTAATTGTAGTTAATATTTTTAGAGGGTTTTCAAATGTATTTTTTTCCTTGTTAAAAACAGACATCTTATGATAAATAAATAAAATATTAAACAGAGAAATTGAAGCTCCCATTTAAAGCGCCTTTTTCGAAACACAAAACAAAAACAATTTCCAACACACTCACTCGCCCTCAACTTTACCACGCTTCTATGCCCCTCAACTGATACCTTTTCATCATGGGTTTGAATTGAACTAAAATCACAATTCATCATTTTGCCCCGTACAACGCAATCCCCTATTTCGGCCACTTTCTTGCAGTTTCTCGCTCCAATTCGGTGTTTTGATACGCTGCTTTTGTCGATGAAGGTGTTATGATATTTGCTCCTCCTTCCTCCTCCGCCGATCAGAGAGACTGTGAGTTTCACTTTCATTCGTTATGTTTTACTTCTCTTTCTTTACTTCACCCTCTCCTTCGAGCTTGGAATGGTAGTCTTTGGTGATGATTATGCTGTACGTGTTCTGGGCTTTCCTTTTTTTTTTTTTGGGGTGTATGTGTATTTGATGTTCTGGGTCACCTTTTCCGTGTTTATACGGACGCATGTTGTTTATTGACTTTTTGACGTTCGATTGTAAGCGAGTGTGCCCATGTTAATTTCCTCTCCGGAAACAAGTCATATGCTTTTGTTGCTTCAAGGACCTTAATTTGTCGACTGGAGGAAAGGAAATCTCTCTTGTTAATTGCAAAAGGGATAATATTTTGGTAGAGGTGTTTGTTATCGTCTTTTCTGATGAAAAATATGCCGTGGAAATTTTTTTTTTTGGCCCTTGAAGACCTGGCTACCCAAGTACTGAAATTTTCTTTGGATTAGCAAATAGTTTAAAAACTGAAAATTTTCCTTGGGAAAATTGTATTTTCGGAACTTTAAGTCTTCTTCATGGATGTTTATCAGTTACTTTTTATTGCCCTGTTGTTGGTGTGTGAGATGATTTTATTAAGAGAAAATAAGATGCTTAAAATTTATCTGAGCTTATGGAAGTTACTATACTGTTCCTGATATATTGCTGAATTTGAAAATTTATATTTGCTTGGATCTGGGAATCGAAAGCTATAGATTTCAGAATTAGTCCCGGTTTCCTTTCTATTCCTCTTTTGTACCGGGTGAACAGTGTGAGATATTATTCGTTTATCTTATCACGACCCTATCGGGTCCCAAATATTTCCAATTTTTTGTACTTGTTTAATGGCACGTATAGTTACTGTGCAGAGTAATGCTTGAAAAAGTTTTTTCTTATTTGAGTGGGAAGCACCATAATTATTCTCTGCCTATTGCTCCTTGCTTTCTTTACCCTTTTCTCCACTTCCGTTGTTCTAAAACTAGGATACATTATGTGCCACGATACTCAATATCTTGATTTGATTTGATCCCCCCCCCCCCCCCGGGGCTTGGTCAATTGAGTGGAGATTCCTCTTTGTTTCTGAACAACTCTCATTTGGAAATAGAAAATGTAAACTTGAATGCAGAATCTCCCGAATTCATTTCCTCTTTTATTTTATGTTAGCAATTTATCAAGTCATTTATTACTGTTAATTTTTCTGTCTTAAAATTAATCTGCGGCTCACTTTAGTTTTAACTTTGAACTGAGCTGGAAATCCTATTTTCGCTGGTCTTCCTTCACAAATTAGAATTCTATCAGCCCCATTTTACTGAAACAAACTATAATTTTTGGCTAAAGAAAGATGGAGCGCTCCAGATTTAACATGAGGATCCGTTCTTCTGGTTCAACTCCATCAGAAGAATCAGCTTTGGATCTCGAAAGAACTTGTTGCAGTCATTCTAATTTGCCTTCGCTGAGTCCCCCAACACTTCAACCCTTTGCTTCAGCTGGACAGCACTGTGAAAGCAGTGCTGCTTACTTCTCATGGCCTACATCTAGTCGCTTGAGTGATGCTGCTGAAGAGAGAGCACAATATTTTTTAAATCTACAGAAGGGGGTGCTACCTGATAACCTTGGTCGGTTACCGAAGGGGCAGCAAGCAACCACATTGCTTGAACTTATGACAATCAGAGCGTTTCACAGCAAGATATTGCGTTGTTACAGCCTCGGCACAGCAATCGGTTTTCGTATTCGGCAGGGTGAATTAACTGATATTCCTGCCATTCTAGTGTTTGTTTCAAGGAAAGTTCACAAGCAATGGCTCAGCCCAATCCAGTGTCTACCTACTGCTCTTGAGGTTCTCTCAGATGTTTATTCCGGACCTCCCTACTTCATTATTGAGTTAAATCGTATCTTTTAATCCTTGCTAGTTGGTAATCCAGTGATTTCTTCTGCCTAGTGGTGCATTTGAATTGAATGTTTAACATTTCAACCAGGGACCTGGAGGAGTATGGTGTGATGTAGATGTGGTTGAGTTCTCATATTTTGGTGCACCTGAGCCATCTCCTAAAGAACAGCTGTATACAGATATCGTTGATGATTTGCGGGGGGGTGACCCATACATTGGTTCAGGTTCTCAGGTGTTTCCATACTCCCTTAATTATCATCTTCTTTGATAAGGTTACTTGTTCTAGGACTACACCCCAGTATAGATGTGAAATGACTGACTCTGGGTTCAATTAATATTGCAAATTTATGATAATGAAAGACTTCTTTTAACTTTATAATTTGCAACTTTCTTTTTTTGACGTTAATTTGCAACTTTCTACCTCTAAGTTTTGTGTTGCTTTTTTTCTATATCAAATTTCATATATCTTTGTAATGATGCTGTTTAAAGAAAGATCTGTAGATAATTTCAACAATTGTGGTACTTGGACCCGTTTGGGCTTTGGATTTTATATGCGTTCAGTAATGAACCAGCCACTTAGTAAGTAACTAGGTTAACAGAAGTGAAAGCAAAATACAATTTTGTTCAGATTAGTTTTCCAACCAAGCTGCGAGATTTTAAAGTGTTTCCAACCAAGCAGTAAATGCCTATATTGGTTTTATCCAGAGTGTCTTCCTCTTAGAATAGCAATCTTGTCTCAGAAGAACAGCTGAGTTACTAATTTCATTGATCAATGCCATTGATGAAACATCTCTATTTGATGGATATGTTGGATATCTAACATCTTACTTTCATTGATCAGGTGGCAAGCCAGGAGACTTATGGAACTTTGGGTGCCATAGTCAGGAGCCAAACTGGCCATCGGCAAGTTGGCTTTCTCACAAATCGGCATGTTGCAGTTGACCTAGATTACCCAAATCAAAAGATGTTTCACCCTCTGCCACCCACACTGGGACCTGGGGTTTACCTTGGTGCAGTGGAGAGAGCAACTTCGTTTATAACAGATGAGCTATGGTATGGAATATTTGCTGGAGTAAATCCAGGTAACAAAGATTTACGCGTCTAAACGAGTTTTTAGTACCAAATGCATTTTGCTTCCTACACCACCACCATCATCATCATGTGGTTCTCCTGCAGAGACTTTTGTAAGAGCTGATGGGGCATTTATTCCTTTTGCTGATGACTTTGACATGTCCACTGTCACTACTTCTGTAAGAGGTGTTGGAGATGTTGGTGATGTGAAAATTATTGACTTGCAATCTCCGATCAGTAGCCTTATTGGAAAACAGGTGGTGAAAGTCGGAAGAAGTTCTGGCTTGACTAGAGGAATAGTTTTGGCATATGCCCTTGAGTACAACGATGAGAAAGGAATATGCTTCTTTACTGATCTTCTTGTAGTGGGTGAAAACCAACAAACTTTTGACCTTGAAGGAGACAGTGGAAGCCTCATCATGTTAAAAGGTGAAAATGGTGGAAAGCCACAGCCAGTTGGGATTATCTGGGGAGGAACTGCCAACAGAGGCCGCCTCAAACTAAAAGTTGGCCAGCCTCCAGAAAATTGGACTAGTGGGGTTGATCTCGGGCGGCTTCTTAATCTTCTTGAGCTTGATCTCATAACAACAGAAGAAGGGCTTAGAGGTTTGTCATTCGTTCTTGAACAAATTCCTCAGTTTTTTTCCTTCCTTTATTTGTTGTTTGATTTTTTATATTGCCCATTCTCTATCCACAGAATCAGACCTTTTGTTCGGCCATCTGATTTTCACTTATCATACATGAAAAAGGTATCTGAATTATTATGGAGCCTAGAAAATGCCCACAACTTTGCTGGTATTGAATGGTCTGAAATTATGTGAATAATACCTGAGGGCAGCGGGTTTGATGGGTAATTATACCTTGAAATTGGGTATTGTGCAACTGGGTTTGTTTCTTGTATGACCGAACCAGTTACTAAATTTTTGATTAAATAAATAATTTTATCAAATTGTCCCTCAATTTTCAAGGTAATGATTCTTATAATGAAGGGACCAAATTAAGTGTGCTCAAAGGTTATATGCAAGGAGTGATTTAGTGAAGGAAAAGACGAACTACTAAAATCTCAAGTCATAAAACCTGATTCTGTGTGATGTTTTTTGCCTGTAGTGGCAGTGCAAGAACAAAGAGCCGCCTCGGCCACAGCAATCGGCTCCACTGTGGGGGACTCCTCAACTCCCGATGGTATCCTCACTAAGGACAAGACAGAAGACAAATTTGAGCCACTTGGTCTTCAAATTCAGTCCATCCCTCTTGGAGTTGAACCAAGCAGCCAAGAAATGAAACCCTCAATCGACATGAAGACTGAATTCCAGGTAGAAGATGGAATCAAGGTAGGAGGTCCAAGCATAGAACACCAGTTTATCCCAAGTTTCAATGGGCGGTCGCCGCTGCACAAAAATGATTCACTGGATAGAGCTGCCACTGAGAATTTATCTTCGTTGAGGAATGGCTGTGACGTAGATTTATGTGTTTCACTGCAGCTGGGTGATAATGAAGCTAAGCGAAGGCGCTCTGACGCTTCAACTGGTACTGAGGAACCTCAGTGACGCTTAGTCATTTTGAGACATTATGACCCTTATAACCACTGTAATATTATACTTACACTTCTTGGCTTGTTCTAGCAGCGACCAATTAGTGCGGAAGTCTCGAAGTACCAACTAAACTTCAACTGAATTAGTCGGATTCTTGAGATGATTTTTTCCCCCTAATGGGGTCTTTTAATTCCCAAAATGCTTATATTTCTATATTATGCCAGTAATATATGCCACAAATTCGTGGGTAAAACTGTAATATTTTGATTAAGACAATATAAAAAAATTTGAATCTTGGGTTTCTTGGGTACTTCAGCACGCGGTTGGCGACCAAGTCTTCATAAAACTAACTACAGTGATGCAAAAGGATTCGTATGGTTGGTTACGCGCGTACGAGCGCGCGAAAGAACAACTTGGGTTCGAGTTTGATTTCTCTTACAAGAGTTAAACTAATGTAACCTCCCCCTGTCAAAGTATATGGCTAAAGGTCAAGAGAGAAGCACTTGAATGTGATATGGTATTCTTATGAGTTACTACCTCCTGTCCTTAATATAAGATTTTATTTGATTTTTATTTTGATTCTAAATATAAGATCCTAATCTACTTTGTTTCTCATAATTTATATATTTTTTCTCAAGGTAGTCTTTCTAACAATAGTGGTTCTAACCAATATATTTTATTAGTAAGGATATTTTAGGAAAGACAACTCCTATTTATTATAAATAACTAATTTAATTTCTTTTCTTAATCTTCTCAAATCAGTCAACTAACTCTTATAATTAGAATTGGAGATACTAATGTTTTAGATGGTTCCACAAACCGCAAACAAAAATCTTTAATTGTAACGTCTAGACTGGCGTGTTAAATGAGATGAGGGTATGCAACTTAATATTTATTAAAAAAAAAAATCCAATTTCGTTAGAGTTTTATGACACCCTTGAGAATAACACCTTAAATGGAAGAGCTTGAGATTTGAGATTTTGTGATATAGGGGATTCTTTTCCTTTCCTAAAGTTTGAACATAAATCTAAGAATAATGTATTAGATGCATGTTCATCAGATAATAATACTAAATTGTCTAACTCGTTGTAGCTTAATGGCATGAGGTTTTGCGATTTCACTGGTTTATAATCTTACGCTGTTAGTGTTTGGTTGTGTACTGCTTAGGGAAAAAAACTAAATCAAAATGTGGAAGAAAACCATCAAGTGGTTCCTAAAAATATGAAGTGCATCTGAAAGAGTTCACATTAGGGAAACTAGGATGCTTAAATCATTCCAAGGCAGGCTTCCTTTTGAATCTAATAATAGACAACAAAATCACATTTTTTTTCTGAACAACCAGAAAAGGAAAAAAAATCATATTCACATAGTGAGTAAAACTGTACATGCTGCATGGAAAGTTGAAGGCATCCTACTCTTATATTGATCAATGACGTAAAGACAAGACTCCTTCGTCCCGCTTTCTGTTCCAAAACAGAAAAATGGAAGAACCCGAAACGAATCTCACAGCACATGGCATTAGGTTACTAACTTCTCGTACAATGATAACCTTCGATCCTTAGACTTGGTCTAAACAATGCCATCAGCATTTCTGTATATATAGAACAGGAACCTTCAAGCTTAGCAACTCCATCACAGAGTTTCTACAGCTAAGAATGGAGAAGCAATACTTAGTGTTATGGATAGTAATTCTGAACCTTTCTTGTTCAGCACTTGCAGGCTCCACCAGCAGGTCCAAGCAAGGCTATGGTGATAATAAATGTCCATTACGGAAAGATGTATACCAAAATAGTTGTCCAGAAGCAGAGTCCATCATCTTCTCTTGGGTGAAGAAAGCTGTGTTTCAGGACCCCAGAATGGCGGCCTCGCTTCTTCGTCTTCACTTCCATGATTGCTTTGTCAATGCATGGCTTTCTCTTCTTTCTCTCTCTCTTTCTTTCCATTATATATAAACACTTGTAATTTCGTCTGGGTTTCTTTTTAAAGATGATGTTTTGGGGTTTTGGTCTTGAAGGGGTGTGATGCTTCGGTGCTGCTGGATGACACAGAGGGCTTCGTTGGAGAGAAAACTGCAGGTCCAAACTTGAATTCACTAAGGGGCTTTGAGGTGATCGATGCAATAAAATCTGAACTTGAAACGGTCTGCCCACAAACCGTATCCTGTGCTGACATTCTTGCAATCGCGGCTCGTGATTCTGTTGTTCTGGTTAGTCATTTTTTCCTGCTCCGGCTTTTCTGATTATTCTGAATTCAAATTAGCATGTTAGTTACACTTTTCAGTGAGATTAACATCTGATATGTTAAAATTTACTATTGATTCGATCGGGTTAAGAATTGACAGCATTACGTTGTGTATATTACAGTCAGGAGGTCCAAGTTGGGAAGTACAAGTGGGAAGGAGAGACAGCTTCAGTGCGAACAAGCAAGCAGCAAACAACGACATTCCGGCCCCTAACTCCACTGTTGAAGTCCTCTTGGCCAAGTTTCAGAACGTTGGCCTTTCACTCCGTGACATGGTTGCCCTTTCTGGTATTTTCTGTTACCTTTAGTTTAGATGGAAAAAAAATAGAGCGAAAAAATACTAGAAAAAGAAAATCTTACAAAAATAGTAACTTTTTATATTATTTTTAAAAGTTTTCTTTCATTGTACTCTTTCTCCCCATTTTCCTCCCATTTTTCCTCCCATCCAAACAAGCCTTAGAGCCAAGTCGCCAATAGCCCAATATAGAAAAGTCTTCTATATATATATATATATATGGGGCACAAGAAAGGTCTTCTATGTAGTAAAATTGAGAAAAAAAAATTAAAAAATACATCAATAATAAAAACCCTTTTTTCCCCCATGAAGAAGACTGTTGTTTGATGCTTCCCCAGATTCCAAATCATTGCCGAGCAAGACATATTTAAGCCATTGCTGTAACATTGGCCATCAAGGCCCATTTAATCCACCCTTGTCAATGAGAAGTATAGATGTATGTATATGCCAGCTTCACCAGCCAAAAACAAGAACTTTAATTTATTATTGTTATTATTATTTTGGCAGGAGGACACACAATAGGAAAAGCTCGGTGCACAACATTCAGTTCTCGTCTACAAAACAGCGGAAGCAAAAGTGCACATGTTAATCTGGACTTCATTTCCTCACTCCAACAGTTATGTTCATCAGGAGGAAGAAACACTAACAATGGCAACACAGTGGCACATCTGGACCTGGTCTCACCAGCTACATTCGACAACCAGTACTACGTTAATCTTCTCTCTGGGGAAGGCCTGCTTCCATCAGATCAGGTTCTTGTGACTGGCAACAACGATCAGACCCGACAGATTGTGCAAACCTACGCGGAAGATCCCTATGCTTTCTTCGAGGACTTCAAGAATTCAATGCTCAGAATGGGAAGCATCCCAGGATCTCTCCTCGGCCAGATTCGTCGCAACTGCCGATCTGTTAATTAGTTCTAAATTCTAGCTACCTAGCTGCTACAATTATCCTATGTAGAAGCTATATGGTTGTCGCATGTTTAATTCCCACTCTTGTCTACGCGTTTGTTCTTCGATACAAAGCATTAGTGTGTGTGTTAATTTTCAAGTGTGATGCTTTTTCATCGTAATGCACTCGATTTCCCCGACAATTGTGTCGCTTTCCCCCATGGGCATTTGTTTGCTTTCTTGATTTGTGTTGTGAAAAAATTGCTATATATACATTAATTTCAATAATTAATAATCTGAGCAAGAATTCAACAATGGTAACATTATTCTTAAGCAAAAAGCAACAAAAATCAACAATGGGAAAGAGAACAGGGCCAATTAAAACCCTATCTAATCTTTAAGTTTTTAAGTCAGTTGTAATTTAATTTTTAAATTTTTTTTGATGTAATTGAGTCTTTTAGTTTTAACATTTAAAATTTTAATCTCTATATTTTAAACATAACTAAATTTAAAATTTTAAATGGAAAAAATTATAAAAACTATGTTGCATCAATTCAAAGTTCAAAAAAAGTTAAAATTATAATGAGTTGTACAGAACTGAAATTTAGTAATTGAATTACAATTAAATTAAAAATAAAATATATCTTCGTAAACCTCACATAAATGTAACGAGTAGCACTGCAGCAGTGCACTAAAGAAACTTGCACAAACAACACAGTCGAAATTTATAAAGTTTTCATTTTGATATCAAAAGAGAACTTATAAATTATTACAAAATATGCATAACAGCATAAGTCCAAATTAATTTTTTGTAAAAAATCTATAACTTGCGTTTTTTAATCAAATTTTATCAGAAATGTGAGCAACTTATTAGTGATATTTTTTTTGAATATCAGTAGTCTTGTTAATAAATTTTTTTGCCAACTTGTTAATAAATACTTTCTTACCTTTGAATTAATTTTTAATTTAAATTAGCGAGCTGACATTTGACTTTAGAGGTATTAATCATTTCATTTTGCCAAAAAAAAGAGAGGAAATTATTTTTAACCGGGAAAAGAGAAAATATAAATCAGGATATTTATAACGTTACCCGTGCCGTCACGACATCCAACGACGGTAATGCAATGACTTGACTTGCTTTCGTTAGTTTTTCCCCAAAGGAAAAAACTGGCATTCGTTATCCTCTTCTCTCATCTTTTTATTTCATAAAATATCTGTTGCCTCTTCAGTCTTGCTAGCGGGACCATGATAGCATCAACTCTGCTATCAGTGGCCGGCGCCGATGCCGGCGTTGCTGCGAGGTTGTCATGCGAAATCCGTCAACTGGGTCATGCTGAATCCTCGCATTGTCCGAAAACCAGGAAGCTCTTCAGCTGCTATGATGGAAAGGGTTGCCATTCGCAGCAGCTCAAGTGTTTTTGGAGGATTCCCAGCAATAATAATCCAAGTTTGAGGAAGAGAAACTCGCAGTTGAGATATGCTTACGGCAAAGAAGCTGAGGACAGCTTTTTCTCGGTATAGAAATTGGTTTCTTTCTCGTTTTGCTGTTGGCTAATAGAAATGCCAAGCGCCTGTTTGGTTTTGAAGAAGATTGTGAAAATCGGGGGCAAGATAATTTTGCTCATGCGTCCTTTTTTTTTGGTTAAGTGAATTGAAAAGGTGGTTAGATCGGTTTTTTAAGTTACATATAACATTATAAGGTTTTCCCCTTTTCTGGGAACTTAGGTTTCAGTTTTCATTTAGCGTCGTAAAAAGAATGAGGAATCTTAGCGCTAACCAAGGATATTTTTTTTTCTTAAAATTTTTTAACTGTCATTGATATAGTGCATTGTTAAATGCAAAGCGAAGCTTGAGGAATCCTCATAAGTGATACAATCTATATTATTTACAGGATGTGAGGGAAGATACTGATGAGATGTACGATGAATTATTTAATAAGAATGGGAAAGTAGTATTTAGCAGAAAAGACCCGAAACCTGCTACTGCAGAGGTTGATGATGATGCTGACAGCCTTTCATGTAAGCTGATTAGCGTTATTGAGAACTAACTTGCTTGTAGCATTTACCATACTGTGTTCAAATATCTAATTATTTTTCTGTTAGATTCTCTTAAGGATGATATATTACAGATATAAGATTCTTGAAAGTCTAATAAATTGTTATGCAAGCATCACTATGTAGCTTTCTGGTAGGTTTAAATAATAAAAAAAGGAAAATGTGATTTAGAGGATTTAAGTAAGCTGAATGGAATGAAAGCAATGGGAAGAGCAATTAGGCGTTATGTAGAATTGTGATCCAAGCAGATTTATTGGTGTTCCTTCCCCTATAACATTGCGTTAATTTAATTCAGGAAAAAAAAAAATTGACCTATATCCCCCCCCCCAAAAAAAAATACATTTCTTGTATTTGTTCTGTCCAACAATTTCATCACATTTCTATTCAGTTTCTTTTGGATAGAAAGTTAAATTTCTTCAAACCAAGTACACTGTAATTGTTTGCTCTTGTATATGTAGTTGCCGTGGAAGTGGCAAGGGTTGCAAGTGAGGTTAAGGCAGCAGATATAAAGGTCTTGTTTGTGAAGCCACTAGTATACTGGACTCGATTTTTTATCATAGCTACAGCATTTTCTCGTCCTCAAATTGATGCTATAGGGTATGGACTTCATTGTTATTTGTTTTATAACCAACTGGCAGTACTTGAGTTTTTCTCATTGAATATATAACATTTTAATTTATTCATTTTGTTTTTTTGATGCATTTTAAGGTCCAAAATTAGAGATATGGCGGAGAAGAAATATGGGAAAATTCCATCTGGAGACTTAAAACCCAATTCATGGACCCTGCTGGACTTTGGTAAGCGACTTTGTATTATGAAAGTATGACCTGCGAATAGCAATTCTGGAATTATAAATTCAAAACTTGGATATACCCATTGGAGTTTTGTAGCTCTACCACCGAACTGATCTGAACTTGTATGAAGCAATTGTCCTTTTACTAGAGAACGGCATGATGTGTGCAGTAAGAGCACAAAGTAGTGATTGGTTGTTATTGTTGGTGATATCACTTCGCAATCTACCTTTTATACGGACTAATTCCTAACTTGAGAACTGGACCATTACTCACCTTCAGCGCTTTCCATTCCTGTTATTGCGCCTCTGATGTTAAACGATCTGGGAAGTAGCAGAGAGAGTGGCGCAAGGTTTGGGAGTGTGTATGGATCCATTTTCTATCCATCCTCTCTCACATATTTAAGAATTACTTCACAAACTTTAAACTTCAGAGGACTTAAAATACGTCCTGGATTAAGTGTCTATAATCCTGATCTTGACACTAGTGTGTGTTGTTTCTTAATAATTGAGTTTATTTCTTGATCACAGGTGACGTTGTTGTCCACATATTTCTTCCCCCACAGAGAGCTTTTTACAATCTGGAGGAGTTCTACGGTAATGCAACACCAATTGAACTGCCTTTTGAAAATCAACCCCCATTTCGTGGTTGAGCAAAAGATTTGATTTCCCTGAAGAGCGAAAAAGCATTAAGATGATGCACACAATTGATGGCCAGCTTTGAGAATCTATAATCACGGCCAGTTTTGGTTTGAAGTATGCTTATCATTTTGGGTTTTGCTCTGCTTCCAGCTGGGCGGGGGATCCCTCAATGGTGGCAGGGGGAAGAGGAAAACATATGCATTCGGAGGTTTATTCTGACACTGGATATAGAAGTGCTAGTCGATCCTTGAAAAAACTGTAATATGGGGGTTTGCATAAAGGTTATTGTTTCTGACTTGGAATGAAGGTTATTGTTTGTCACTTGGAGTGAATAACACCGCACAGATGATGCTTTCCTGGCCGATTTGATTAATTTAAGTTGTATTTGTTCTTTAACGGTTTGTGTGAGCATTAGGCTGTTAAAAAGACATATTAAGCAATGCCATCAAAGATAGTACCATATTGTTCTGATGCTTCACCATTTTATTATATCTGCAGTTTGTTCTGAAAATTGCAAGCACCTACAAGATTACATTGAGCTTGTTCATTTGTATCTCACTACAACTTGTGGTTAAATGTACCAGCGAAAGATTAAACTAATGAAGTTATAAGAGATGGTTTAGCATACGTAATGAAAACTGATTATTCTATTTAAGCAGTGTCATTGAAGATAGAGTATTGTTATTCTGGCGCTTATTAGACTACAGAGATTAGATGATATTTTTTTTCAATTAAAGCATCATAAATACATAATTAAATTGAAGAATTACACGTATTTTTTTATAAAATTATTTGCTTGTTCTAAAAAGATAATATATTTACTAAATTTTGGTGGAAAAGTGCAAAAATGATAACAAAAGAATTGAACGTAAATCTCTTCCTTCACTAAATGGAACAAATGGGTTATCGAAGGGATTCTGCGAGATGACTTGTTACAGCCCCATCTCAGCAAATTTCAAGTGCCAACAAGGACGATGCTTGTTGGACTGCACTGCCTTTGGTATAATGCATCAATGCAGCGTAAGTTTTTTTTAAATAGATAGTCAGAATCATATTAATAACAAAAGTATGTTACACTGTACCAAAAAAGGAGGGACATAGAGAGGTATGAACAAGATTGTAAAAGGGTTTTTCATTTGCCCGGGGGGTAAGACATTAGAAAAAGCCCGTAGCAGAATCCTCACGTCGGGCCAGATGACATGTTTCTCGGAAGCAACGCTCTTCAATGCATCGAGAGTAACGTGTGAAATTGTAGCTTCAGATAGCATCACGCCAAAATTAATTATTAATTCAAAATAATACACGAGGAGGGAAGGCTGGAACTGATGCTTTCAGCAGATTGTTATTGTATATTTTGATACACACACGAGCATTCATTACTTTCTTTCAGATTACTCAAGAATGACAGGAAACTACAAACTTGAGGCAGACCTGATAAAAGTTTCTAAGCTTCTTCAGATGAACGTATGTGATTCATGCAGTTTTTTATTTTCCCGCTGTGGCAATATGTCGCATGACAAAAGCTCGTTGCTCTTCTAATCTGTACAAGATACTTGACAGAACGATTGCCGACTACTTAGCCGTTCAAGTTCAGATGATTATGCTCTTCCTTTATACTGGATCAGGACCTCTAACATTCCGCCGCAAGTGAGTTTGTACGAAAACTGTAACATGTCTATGAGTTTAACGCAGCAAATGCTTTGTCTTTCTTTGCATCAGCTGCACAATGAAGGAAGACCGCATCCAGAAAGAGCAACCATGAGATTCAAGGCAAGGCAATTCAGTGACAAGTCTACCATGTTCCAGTGGGAAAGCCTACCCACGCAAGACCTTCACATTGTGATCAATGGTTGACGAAATGAGGGAAATCAAGGAGACTGATTCCTGCAGCCACAAGAACAATACACAACAAGTTAATATTACCAGGAAATCATCCTCAATGTCATACTAGCCAAAACACAACACAGATTATGATCTTCACAGATATTCCTCTGAGATTCACTAGTCTGCACAATTAATTGATGCATCAACTCCGGCTCTAATTTTTCTGCCTACACTAATAGCCATCCATAAAAATCTAGGTATTGCATATCAAAGTTAAACTACCATCACAAAAATTATAATTTATTCTGTTTCTTGCTCATTATGTAACGGAATTGCAAGAACCCCTCACAGGCTTCTACTTCTTGTTCTTCATCTTTCACTTTACAGACATGGCCTGAATTCCTGCTCTTTCCAATTTCATTAATGGATATGCAAGAAAATGTCCGTGAAAGTAGAAAAAGATCAGCATTTTTCCAACAAAAACGTATGGCCAACTCAAAGACAAGGGCAAAAATCTATATCATTTGATAGCTTTTCCTCCCAACTGACTTTTATGTTACAAAAGGTCTCAGCATGCCTCTAGGATGCTACATCGAACCTCATTACAATAATGCAAAGTTAGGGTAATCTCGTAAGTTCTGTAATTCAAGCTTCAATCTTAAGATGCATCTACTCTTAAAATTTATCGCCTTGAAAGCAAAATATGCACATCTTCAGCTTTAAACAAACTACAACATTTTCACCATACAGAAAGAGTCGATCAATACTCTAAGATATAAGAATTACCCCAGGAAAGTAATTTATTCACGTGAATGTGTGTGCGCGCGTGCGTGTAAATGTAAGGATATGGAGACATCTGCCACGTGCTGCACATGGTCATAATGACATGAAACTTGCAAAAAGAGTTAACAGTTAAAATTAGCCAAGTTTTGACTAGCCTGTCCGGGTTATGATGCGCTAATGTCCAACCAGGTTCATATGCTTCGAGAAAACCAAGCTTTGCCTTATTAGGTAGATCATGGGGATGGACAAATGGCACTCCAGGTGGCCAACCTATCTCCATCCGTATATTGGCACATGGGCTATCCATGGTGTGAATGTGACTTTCACATTCTTTCAAATTGCAGAACCGCAGCTTGATTCCTTTCTTATCTGCAATATCCTGAACCCTTTCTTTCAATACTCTCTGAGCCTCAAGCCTTAATCTCTTGGAAGGAGGTAGAGGTTTACTTTTTGTATTTTGCTTCCTCCTCCGCATCAATGTTTTCATAGATCCTGTACCAGCATTTCATCGATCCAAGGACCTGCTGTTAAAAACTTGTTGCTAAGGACTACTCTTAAAGCAGAAGCTACACTAGTTCAACATGAAAACAAACCAACTCATGAAATTATTAGCACCATTATAAAGACTAGTTTTAGCGAGACATCACATGCTAAATCTGTGCTATAATAACTATCAGGGCTACCACAATGTATGGAAACGAAAGCACATAGATGCGTGCTTGGCTATTAATTACTGCTTGCCAGAAGCTCTAGAAACAATGCCGATTCCCAAATTGTCAGTCATCAATTTCATCAGAATTAAAAAACTCAAGATGTGACAAATCACCGTAATTATCCTTCAAGAGAACAATAAGAAATTTAGATTGAGTTCTGGAGAATACAACCAACCAAAAAACAGATTACAAATGCAACTAAATGCTGCTTACCATCATGGTTTGGTGGAAAATTGAAGCACTGGAAACCATTTCTGTTAAGGAGATGATCAGTTGAGTGAGATCTTTGCATAAAGTCATCCACAGGAACAGGAAGCTGGAACTGTGATTCAACTCCATGGCCTGCTGCCCTCATCTCTGAACAATTAAGACTGGCCATAGATTTAGGCATGAGTTTAAATGTTAAAGAACATCGCCCAAATATATTTCCTTCCATATTGACCTCAGTTTTGCGAACTGCAGGATTCACATAACCTGCAGTTGCCTGATAGAGAGCAAGCCCAGGATAAACAACAGCATCTTGAGGCCCCAGGTCTCCATCCACAAGAATCCACCGACCTTGAAAGTCTCTTACATATAAGCCTACCTTGTCCGACTTAACAAGAGATATCAAGCTTTTATCAACCTGATGATCGTGATCAGGATACATTACCAATTGGCCATCCTCTTGAGTGGTTATGTTGTGGTGTTGTGCCCCCTGAAATGATGGCCTTGCATGACAGCATACAGACAAGACTGAAGATGAAACCTCCCTACTCCTAAGGGGAACGTTGTCCAGTATTTCGGTAAATGGAGAGCTGCGCAAATTCAAATGGAAACTAACAGCATCAAGAATAACCCTTGCTGCTCTTCCAAATATAGCAAATATGTCTGGCAAACCTGAGGGAGGGAACTCAATTGCGTTGTTTGGCTCTGGAGGTGTCAACCCTGGTCTATAGTCATAGGTCTCTTGCCACAAATGAGGGTCTGCATAATAGCCAGATGTCTTGCACCACTCACGAGACTCACTAGTATGGATTACATCTGAAGGTGGATATGACTCTCTTTGATGAAAGTAAAGGCGAGCAGATTCCAAACCGGATCTTAAAAGAGCCCCATCACTAGCCGGAAACTGGATGATGGCAGCCGAAAACTGAGCCAGTGATTGTGACAAAGTTGAAACAGATCTTTTATAGGCATCAGAAGGCAAGCCTTCCGAAGGAACTAGGTCGGTAAGCTTGACACAACCCAGTGATGCCAGACCACTGCCCGCCATGGAATCCATCACTCTGCCTCCTAAGTCCTACCTTAATCCAGATAAGTTCAACCCGCCAAAATTCCAATTACAAATTAAAAAGTTACCCAAATCTCCGACCAGAACGGTTTATGCGATGCAACATATTGAAACCAAACATGGGCTGGGAAGCTTCGAGTCACAAAATTGAGCAGCGTTGTAGCGTTAAACTGTGTTTCGCAGTTCAATTCTGACAGGATTAAAACTCAATCAAGCTCAAAGTTTTCTTCTCGAATCATTAGAAAGTGTACTAACTTGAAAGTTAGCTCTAAAGATTCAAATTCTTCAGTTTAATGGGAGGCAAAGAATTGAACATTTTCTCGCGACAACCCAGGCAGTGTGGATACTGTTTTTACCTTTTCTTTGTCAGTCCTTTTCATTTTGTAAATATTCCATTGCAAATTTGGGTGCCGTGGGGATCAGATGCCTTATGCTCTTTACAATCTCCAAATGGGAAATGAGGAAACGCGCGAAGAGAGAACAATTTGCGAATGAAGATATCAAATGAAACTCTGCGGGGAAAAACCTAAACAAAATTTCGGTCAAAAAACCCAAAAGAGAGAACCATATGACCATCGTGGGAATATGAGAGAGAGAGAGAGAGAGAGAGAGAGAGAGAGAGAATGGGTCGGATCTAAGCTTAAGTCCAAGTTGCCGTGCGGTCGGGTCAAAAATGAGTTGTGAATAAGCAGGCATTAGTTTTTTTTGAACTACATATTTTAGATAACATATTATTTTGGAACTTTAACGCCCCCGTTTTTTAAAATGGGAGTTTATTACGTTATACTACCTCCGATTTTAAATATAAGAGTTAGTTAACTAATTTGAACAGATTAAAAAAATAAATTCAATTAATTATTTGTAATAAATAAATATTGTCTTTTTTTAAATATCTTTACTAATCAAATGTATTGATTAAAATTACCACTATTAGAAAGATTACTTTAAAATAAATAAATAAATATGAGAGATAAAATAAATTAAAATCTTATATTAAAAACCAAAATAAAAATCTAAAAAAATTTTATATTAAAAATAGAAAGTAGTAGTATTTTATTGTCATTTATTGGGGGGAGAAAAAGGAAGGGTAAAAGCCTCCGTACTTTGTTTGGACGCTAGGTTCCTCACCTATGAGATATCATTAATATATACAATTAGCTATAAACTCAACTTTCCAACTCCAGGCAACACACATGTCAAGCTCGTGTTATTTATTATAACATCGTTTTAATATAATTATAGCACGTCCAAAACTTACAATTAAAAATAAGAAAAATATCTTAAACATCTTAATTTTTCTTTTTAAGTCTCAATTTCATTTGAGTTTCAGTTTGTATTAAGCATTTATTTATTCAAAAATTCTGATACACCAACAAATCAAAATACTACTTATTTCCAAATTTGCAAATAATAGAGTACAACTCCACACTTCATACAGATAAATTGATTTTATTTCAAATAGTTTTATTACTGCCTGCTTACGTGATGAAACGTGTCGCTGCCCTGCCTCCGTACTAAAATCTTCAGATGAGCGAATCGACCAAAACAAAAATGTTGAGGGTGAACTTGAGGATAAAAATTAAGGTTTTCAAGCTTGGCATAATAAAATATCAGATACTTAAATCTTAGTGCACTTGAGGAATTGAATCTATCATCCTCTACAGTCCCACATAACCTTGCAGGGAAAACCTGATACTCCAACCACAGATTCAATACAAGATCCATTGGGTCCCACCAAAAATCGACGGTCATTAACTTATACTGAGACGTACGATTGATCTGGTTGCTAGGAATAAACGCATAATCTCCCAAATTTTGGATGTTCAAGAACAATAACTAAAAGCACAAGACACTCTTGTCACACGCAGATGAACGGAACACTACCAATAAGATGATAGATTTTAAAAGAAAAGGTAGACAACATGGCCAAAATACATTTCCTAGTACATTATAATAGCCGAAGTATTTTTCTCACCACTGGCAGCATGTTAATAAACACATCAGGAATGGAAAGAGGCACAACCCATTTACAGGAATATTCTATGGTCTGCGAGCTGGGGGTGGTGAGCTGCTGCTGCTGCTATTGCTGCTACCTCTTCCTCTTAAAGGCCTACAATGATGAAGAAACCTTAGCACGCCAAGGAAAACTACAGTAATATGTAATTAGCAATAAGTTTGCCTAGAAAAGCAACACTGGCAAATAAACATCACCTTCTTGGACTGCGACTCCTGGATCTCCGGGATAACTGTCAAAATAATGAACGACTAAGCAAGAGAAAATACCAAGCAAAAGCAACACCCTCTAGGCAAAAGCAGCACAAACCTTGCGAGGACTTGGCGAATCAGAGTAGGATGATGATGACCTTCCACGCCTCATAGGTGGCCGACCTCTGTCAAGAGAAATATATTATGTATGCTCAATCGGATTAGTGTATGCAAAACCAATAGTCCCAGGAATGGCAGTGTTGAAGCTTCTCATGTAACTTTAGATGCATACAAATGATAGTGCAATATATCAAAGGGCTGGTAAATGTGATTAAAACATTAACTCAGAGATAAATTCTTTTTCTGAATCTAAAACAATAATTCACTTCTACAGTTATTTGTCCTAATAAGAAGTCATTTTCTAGCACATGCAAGTCTACAAGCCTGGAAGCATCAACATTAAATTCTATCATATCTGTTTGAGTATTAGAGCAAAGTATTTTTTATTAAATGGGAACCGTTACATACTTTGGGTAAAGGGGGATAGGAATATAAAGTAAAATTACCTCCGTGGAGGTGGTGAGAATGATCTTGATCGTGAGCGTGCAGATCTCCGTGGTGGAGAGCGACTTCGTCTGCGACTGATCGGAGATCTTCTAGGACTACGAGCTCGTCTAGGTGGTGAACTGGGGGGAAATATTTAATTTCTTTAACTAATGGTTAACACATAGTTCCATGTAACGTGCTATAGCAAAATGCACATAGTTCCATGTAACGTGCTATAGCAAAATGCAAAATAACTGATAACAATATCAAATTCTTAAAAACCTAGGCTAAAGCAAGTAACCACTCCGGCTAGAGCAAGTAACCACTCCAACAAATCCTTTATATTATACAGATTTTATTTATCGTCTGTTGGAGCATCCACGTTCCAAGCATGGTTCACCGTAATATTCATCCCTTTGAAATTCAGACAGTTTACCGACTCAGCTGGGTATGCCAGACGTCCCTCAGTGAGGGAAAAAATTCAAACGGAAATGCAGCATTACATAATTTAAAAATCATAACTTGATAAAGATGAAGAAGCATTGGTGACTCAATTCTCTATATTTTTGTATATATCATGCTCATTCACAAATAACAAACTAGACACAAAAAGAGGATTACCGGCGCCTTGGAGGAGGAGGAGAACGCCTGCGAATTGGACTTCCACGCATCCTTCTGGGGGAGACCCTACTAAAAACATGAATTAAATTAGTACACAGAAAACTAATAACCAAGTAAGCAACAAGTGTATGAAATTAATTCCAAGCCAACCGTGCAGGAGATCTAAGGCGCCTCGGTGGAGTTGGAGATCTGCCTCTAGCAGGGGAGATAGGCCTCCTCCTAGGAGGTGTGTCTCCACGACGATATGGTGAGTCCATTCGACGACGAACAGGAGAATCCAGTCGTCTTGGTGATCCAACTCTTCGAGGCACAGGAGATCTCCTTCGGGGTGAAGGAGGTCTTCTCCTAGGAGAAGCTGCTATCACCAAATTTACAATTTAGTTACAGTGAAAAAAATCACACACACACCCACTCACCAAGGCATCAAGAACATACATTCTCTTGGCCGCTTTGGCCCATCTTTTTCAGCATCTGCACTAGCATTATCAGCTCTAGGAGCATCTCTCTTTGGAGGGAGAGCAGAAGCCTTTGAGGGTGGTGAAACCTTCTGCCTTGGTGGCAAGGTAAATCTGGCCTTAACAATATTACCATCGATTTGGGCCTGCATCAAGAGAATTACTGGCATCAATTTCAAATGCAGCAAGTTTGATTACAGAAAGTAATCCTACTCATTCCATAAAGACCTACACCATCCATGTACAATAAGGCTTTTTCAGCATCCCCTCTTGTCTTGAATTCCACATATCCATATCCTTTAGGAAGGTTAACCTGAAAAAAATTAGAAAGAAGACACAATTAAGCTAAAAAGTCTTAAAACTTGTGATAGTAAAAGCATCCTAGAAACTATGACGCAATACTTAATACACACTTACAGTTCGATCCATTGCCAACTCCACATTTACAACCTCACCAAAGTTACCTAATAAATCGAAGTGCAAAGGCTAGAGGTCAGAACACTGCAACATCTTTTACAAGATTAGTTCAAAAACCCTTTACAGTTAGTAGATCACCAAAAAAATCTCATGATTGTCAAGACCCAAATGCAGTGAAATAAAACAGCCATACTTATTTGCTATAGATACTAATGTTGTAATAAATTATGATTTGATATAGATCAATGAAGTGGAAACATAAGTAGTAAAGAAACTAGATACATAGGCCTCAGTTCCTAAATTCTCATTAAACCATTACAGGATATTACCAACACTATTTTTTGACCAAGGCAGTTAAATGTGAATTCACCAACGGTTCATCCAATTATTACAAAGGGATCAATAAAGAACTCACAATACAGCTATCGCAAAGTCAAAGAAATCAGAGAAAAGAATTGACATACTAAATATTTCTTTCAAATGGCCTTCATGGACATTCCTGCTGAGTTTGTCTATGTGAAGAACAAGTGATTCACGAACAGGGGAAGGTTTCCTGGCATCAGGCATAAAAAGTGAACACCCAAGCAAATGATGCGAGTAAAAGGTAGAAAGGTCCTACAAGTAATCGAATATCAAAGCCTGAAACCAAGATGTTGTTGAACCGCACCTAAACTTGATAAATTACATCAAAATTTTAAGGGGAAAAAATAGTGCAAGTCTTTGAACAATATGAGAATCCACCAAATGAACTCTAAAATCTAGCAGAAGCTATTTGCAAACTAAAATGTTGAACGCAATGTTTGCCTAATGTAAACAATAAGGACTTGCTGATCATCACCAACTATCTTCTATAGTTCACACTTGTCAGCAGTGTTCCACTTCCAATGCCAGTCATCTTATAGACTAGCAAGATATCCAATGTCAAAAATCCACATTGTAACAATGTTTTTAACAAAAACGGTGATCAAGCCAAAATAGAAAAAACAAGAATTGGATGAATAATTTGAATTCTTTGCCACATAACATTTCCAGGCAAATTGAAACATTTAATGCAACACCATTAAGTAGAAAGACATAAGTATCACACCTGGGGGGTGGAGATATCCTTTTAGATGAGGGTGGAGGAGATCTACCTCTCCTAGCTGCTTCAGCAGGACTGCAAGATAAAATATGTGTGAAGTATCAGAACCAATCTGCCCATAAAGCACAGTAACAATATCATTCAACAGGATGTGCGGGACCATCTGAATTCAGAGAAATCAGAGAAAATTACTTCAAGAATCATCTTGGCTATTTCATACGCAGAATAATGCTTCGTCCTGTCACTACTAGATTTTATGATCAAAATAGAGTTGTTCTGAATTATATCTACCTCGTAAGAAAGATTGCAACAAGAACAAACTAATATAATAGTAAGATTCTAAATAAGAGCACCCCCCTCAAAAAGAGGGCGCATTGTTTGTAAGTCCGAACTGAAGGTTTCTTGAAAAATGCTCCTTTTATAATGAAGTTTCCATAATTAAAAATCAGCACCGCAACTGCTGATGAAAATATAATCCACTCTCGTTAATTCAGCAATCAAGTGAAATGGACAGCGATAAGCTCTGCCAACTCCGCCCCAAACCCTCAGGCTTCAACACTTAGCTGCTGAAGTTCTATTAGGTGTCATTTGTCACAACTTCGACAGAAATAGTCAAGGCCAAATATTTTAAATCACTTTTCACAAAACTGCACCAATACCTGTTTATCTTAATGAGAAAAAAGAATAAATTGAACGTAATCAAAGAAGAGAACAAACAAGAAGCAAAAGAAAAAAATTATTTCCTATCCAGTAGTGTCTCAAGATTCCAATCAGTGGGAAATCAGTAGTATTCCAGTTCTTTAGGTTATACTGGAATCGTACATCGCACAATTCCTCCAGTCAATTGAAGCAAAAGACGAATTGCATAAAACCCAGTCCTATGTATGCTCCGATTTTCCTAAAATTAAAACCTCCAACCTTCGTCAAAATGGCACGCTGAAATCTTTCAACTTAAAATCCCAACTTGTAGACGATGGGGCATACCTTTTCCTCCTTGGAGGAGGGGGACTTCGGCTTCCTGAACTGACACTGCGGGATGGAGAAGAGGACGAGGAGAAGGATCTGGAGCGAGAGGGAGAGCGGGAAAGGGAGCGAGAGCGAGAGCTGGAGCGGGAATCGGAGGGAGAGGAGGACCTAGAGCGCGATGAGGAGCCCGAGATGGAACCAGACGGCGGTGAGCGACGGCCTCGCCCAGGTTTTGCCATGGCTAGGAGCACAGTAAGAGAGATGGAAACCCCTCAATAAACCCTAGGAAGTGACACAGGACTGAATCCAAGATAAGAAAGGAGAACTGACGAGAATAGCCTATCCCCGTTCTGTTTTCCGATTTGGTGCGGGTCGTTTTGAACCGGTTTTGACCCGACATTGAATGGTCGATCCAAGATTTCGTGAACTCCATCCGGTAGTTCTATTTATAGAACATATAGAACGGGAAAAAAAAAGTTTTTTTTAATCCTATTTATAAGTCGTTTTATTAAATTTTTACTATAAATGTACCATATTATCTTTTATTTATTATAGTATAGATAGTTTTTTTAAAAAAAAAGTATATATTAAATACGGATAAAGTTGAAAAGTTGTTATATTTTAATAAAGAGTTAATGTAATTTAAGGTTTTTCTTAACTGTGTGAAACATATTAGAAGTGTTTATAAATAGAAATAGAGGAGTAAATCATAAATGCGAAAACACGCCTAATTTCTTTTTTAAGTTTTTGTCCTTACTTAGAATCTACATTATCATGACTTTTATCGTTTTTAATGACATTTTGATCTTTTAATTGAAAAAACTAAATGGCCATCGTTTATCACCTTATATTTGTATTTGTTTTTTGTTTCATGTTTTTTTATAATTATTATAACTGTAAGACTTTGTATTTTTCTTCTTTTGAAAATTAGGAAAAGTCCCATATTGTAACAAGCTTAATTTTTGAAAAAAAAAATTTGTTAAACATTTGGTTAGCTTAATTTTCTTTTATATGGTTTCCATGGTCACAATACAACTTGAAACTCATGCCCAGCCTCATTGCCTGTTGCTTGCAAACTTAATTTATGAAAAAAATTTGCCGTCGCAAAATTTGCTTTTTGTAAGTTTTATCACCACAAAAAACATGCTTGAAAACTGGCTGGAGACAGAACTAATGAATAATCATAATTATGAGCTATATTCCAGAAATATTCCCACTAATATTCAAAAGCTGGATTGAATTTTACATCGAACCTCTTCAGTTCGATGTTCCCATGTCAGACTAACCTTGCCTGCCTTTTCTCTCTCTCCTTTCTTTTTCTTAAATGTAAAAAAGCAAACCTTTCTTCGTCAAATTAAATTAACATAAGCAAGGGGAAGAACAGCAAGCTCTGAGAGCAAGAGCAAAAATATTCTGCGACTCAACGTCGCAACAATCCCAGAAGAAACAGCAGCACAGAGTTGCACAACTGCAATTAAGCAAAGCAACAAAGAAGAGACCAAACAAAGCTATTAGTATTAGGAACTGATCTGAAGACAAATTAGAGAGTTCGTAAAACTAAACGAAAAACAGAGAGACTTTGATAATGACTTGTGATATCTCACCATCCCTCCCAGAAGCCATCACCCTTACTTGTGGTCTTCTGTGGAACACTTTGTTGGGTATCCCCAGAAACAGCATCCCTGGAGGGGTAAGGATACCCCATTGGTGGTGAATATGAAATCACTGGTAATTGGTAAACGTAATATCATTCATTAGTATTATACCCAGATACAGGGCAGACAGTGAAGAAGCTTGAAGGAGTCACTTAAACTGCGATAGGAAAAGAGAGGCAGCGACGAAATAGATGATAATGAAGGATTTTGAGAAAGACATTGCTAAGCTGTACACACACATACATATGGGTTGGCAGGGGCGGCTAAGGTAGCTCAGTGGAGAGTTCGAATATTATGAAAGAGTGTGAAGAAAGATGAGTGTGAATGGCCCTTATAAGGCTGCTTCTTGCTCTGTTTCTCTGTGTTTATTTACCCAAAGACACAGAAAGATAACGGAGACAGACCATAAGAGGGGGAAAAAAGATTGAAGACGATGATCAAAGACAACTCAATTACTCTTGAAGACGATGATCAAAGACAACTCAATTACCCCATTTATAAAAACAACGACAATCTTGATTTGTGAGCTACATAGAGATCGGGGAGTGGTACATATTTGATTAATGCAATATAATATTAGGGGGATTGCTTAGACGTCATGAAGCAGCGAAGTTTAGGCATTTATAAAGCGGCCAAGCTTGACCAATTGACTTTGAAGGTTATATCTTCAATGACTTTGAGGTGAGATCAAATTGGCTTTTGGTTTCACAAAAATACTGTCCGTTCTTTCTTTTTGAATTTGACTCTCGTAACTACTTTCCTTTTATGGCTGATGACACGATTGGTGACCCAACCAAACATGGAAATAAATAAACATTAGACAAAGAAACACGAATCTGTCACTATATAGGCGGCTTCATTGTTCTGGAAGAATGGAATGAACAGTCCCAAAGGTTTTCAAGGATCAAGGATTTATATCAAAGAAGATATTCAGGTACAGATTGTATTCTAGAAAATTTTGCTACCTTCACAAAAAAAACAACGCTATTTCATTACAACATTTTAAATTGGGGTCTTTGAGGAGAAACAAAATCATGATTTTAAAGGTGTTTTTGCCATATAAAAAGTAAATATGTGAGGAAGTTTGTCTTGATTTGAAAAAAAAAAAAAGCTTTTAAAAGCACATATTGAGCAATCCAAACACCCCTGAAGATTAAACATTCCGGACTTGAATTCTCTAGGAATATAAATGAAAGGTGTCCATTGATATAAATTATCTAGATTTAACACCTTTTTCATTTAGATAATTTTAATATTTTATATTTTGATAAGTAGATTGCTAACAATTTTCTGTTTTGGACTTGAAAGAGATTGTTTGTTCCTCATCCTTGAACTCTTGAGAATAAGCATAGAACTGGGTTTGGTAATTTTGTAATTTATAAGTTGAATTCAGTTCCAAGAATGTGAACATAATACTTAGGGAGTGTTTGGGTAACCCCAAAAGCATTTTTCTGCAAATCAAGGCAAACTCTTCTACATATTTACTTCGTATATCGTAAAAGCACATTTAAAATCATGATTTTGTTTCTATCTAAACACTCCCTTACAAGAAACACGCCCCTTTACATTATTATTATGAGCAGTACAAAAATTGTATGAGAAAAAAATATAAAACCAAAAGGGACTAACAAGAACAAAAAACAGAGAAAGCAATCAAAAGCAGCAATCCAAAATGCAACAACAGCAGAGAGCAGCACAACTGCAATGAAGAAGAGAAAAAGAGACATAAATTAATATTAGGGACCAGTCAATTTGAAGAGAAATGAAGAAACCAATAAGAATTCATTGAAAAAAACACTAAAAAAACAGAAATATTTTGCGAACTTACCATCCCTCCCAGAAGCCATCACCCCTTCTTGTGGTCTTTTGTGGAACACTCTGTTTTGGATCCCAAGAAACATCATCCTTCGAAGGATGAGGAGCACTCACAGTCGGCGGTGGCGGATATGCCATCATTGGTGAAGGATATGACACTGCTAATTCATCATATAACGTATATAATCTCATTAATTAATACTGTTAATCCCAGTTACAAACACAATATAATGATACAGCAGAGTGGTAGCTTGTTGTGAAAGAGAAAACTTACCTGGAGGATCTTGCTGATTGTAATGATGATTCATGGTTGCCAAATAATATTGAAGTTGGCGATGATCTTATGAACTATATGAAGATACAGGTAGACCCGAAAATGAGTTGAGATTGAGATGCTATATAGAACGCACACAAATATATAGGTATAGGGAGGCAGCTATGAACAGTGTGAAAGCGCGGGGGAAAAGGCGGATTTGGGGAAGGGATCGACCTTTACAGGTCAAAGGCTGCTTAATGTTCTGAATTTCCCTCTCAAAGTTGACAATATTATCAACTGTGCCTTTACGATTTGAAATGAGAACCGAAGATGCAGACAATAGAGGAATCATTCCGTGAGTATCTTTATTCGCCGGGGTCCACCATATGCAACTTCAACGTACTTTGGTGATTTGGGCGTTATAAATAAATCCGGAAAGCAATGTTCATAAATAAATATTGATGGTAGGAACAGAAAGGCAGAGACGAAATAGAAATATGATAATGAAGGATTTTGAGAAGGAGATTGTTAAGTTACACGCACACAGATACATATGGGCTGGCGGTGGCGGCTACGGTAGCTTAATGGAAGGTTCGAATAATATTGTGAAAGCGCGTGAAGAAATATGAATGTGAATAGGCTTTATAAGGCTGCTTCTTGCTCTGTTTCCCTGTATTTATTTGCCCAGAAGACACAAAAAAGATAAAGAGGCAGACCATGAGAAGGAGGGGGAAAAAACATTGATGATGATGACCAAAGACAACTCAGTTACTCCCTCCATTTATAAAGACAACAAATTATTTCGTCCCATTAGGTGGCATCAGCTATAAGATCAAGGAAGCAGTAACAGAGCATTTGGGGGAATTACTTGCACGTGAGAAAGCAGTAAAGTTTAGGCATTTATGAAGCGGCCAAACCTGACCAATTGATTTTGCTACCTGCAATTCACAAGACACGAAACGCTATTTCATCACAACATTTTTAACAAAGATCAACATATATATGCCAATTTTCTTTGTATATTTTAGATGCTAAAAGATTGTGAATCTAGGTTACATTTACTTTGTCGATAAAAAATAGGGATAAAATGCAATCTTCACCCTGATCTTGTTTTTAACGCATAATTTTGCCTCTGATCTTTCAATGGCGCAATTTTGTTACTGATCTTATTTTTGAAGTGCAATTTTGCTCTTTATCTTTTATTTTTGAGGTGCGTTAATTTTGTTTCTAATATTTAAATTGTACAGAAAAAGAACAAGGTCAAAATTGTATCACTAAAAGTATGAGAGGCAAAATTACACCTGAAAGATAAGATCAGAATGAAAATTACACCTTAATCCTAAAAAAATATTACATTTACTTATGCCTGTGGTACTAGTTTGCTGCATATCTATCGATGCCATCTTAATGTACAGTTCAAACTTGAATTATATATATATATATATATATATATATATATGGAAGGTGACCATTGATATGAACTATTTAGATTGAACCCTTTTCTCATTTAGATAATTTTGATATTATATATTTTTATAATTAAATTGTTAACCATTTTCTATTTTGGATATGAAAGAGATTGTTTGTTCCTCATCCTTGAATGCTTGAAAAAGAGCGTAAAACTGAGTTTGATAATTTCATAACTTGAATATAGTTTCAAGAATGTGAATATAATACTTTTTTAGTTTTTAATATATGACCTAATTTAAGAGTTTATTTTAGTTTTATATATAAGACCTATTTTAAATATTTATTAATTTTTTTCTAAATTAATCTCATTGATATTCCTCCGCTAATAGGGAATTAAAAAAAATACTTAGTATGTTTTAGAAAAAAAATCATATTAACTAATTTAACTAACATATTTAATATACTCAAATTAATTAATTATAACCGATGAAGCACTTATTACAAGGAACACATCCCTTTACAATCTTATTCCGAGAAGTACAAAATTTTACGAGAGAAAAAATATTAAAATACTCAAATTAGTTTCCGCATATATCGCTGCTATTTTAATGTACACTTCGAACTATAATTCTTCTCAAGCGAATATATATGGAAAGTGTCCATTGAATATGAGCTATCTTGATTTAACCCTTTTTCTATTTAGATAATTTTGATATTATATATTTTTATAATTAGATTGTTAACAGCATTTTGTTTTGGACCTAAAAGAGATTGTTTGTTCCTTATCCTTAAACTCTTGAGAAAAGCACAAAACTGGGTTTGGTAATTTCGTAACTCAAATTGAATTCAATTCCAAGAATGTGAATATAATACTTATTACAAAGGAACAAATCCTTTTATGTTATTATTATAAGGAGTACAAAAATTGTGTGAGAAAAAATATGAAACCAAATAAAGGGACTGGCAAGAACAAATAATCCAAAGAGCAGCACAACTGCAATGAAGAGAAGAAAAAGAGACAAAACAAAGTTAATATCAGGTAATGATCAATTGGAAAAGAAATGAAGATTCATTTAAAATTTTTTTAAAAAACAGAGGTATTTTGGGAACTCACCATCCCTTTCAGAAGCCATCACCCCTACTCATGGTCTTTTGCGGAACACTGTAGTGAGTCCCAAGAAACATCATCCTTAGAAGGATATCCCATTGGCGAAGGAGCACTCACAGTCGGCGGCGACCGATATGCCAGTACCGGTGAAGGATATGACACTACAAATTCATCCTATAATATATAATCTCGTTAATCAATACTGTTAATCCCATTTACAAACACAGTATAATGATATAGCAGAGTAGTAGCTTGTTGTGAAAGAGAAAACTTACCGGGAGGATCTTGTTGAATGTAATGATGATTCATGATTGCTAAATACTACCTTTGGTCCTTAATATAAGACCTCGTTTAACTTTTATTTCGGTCCTAAATATAAGATTCCAATCCACTTTATTTTTCATATTTATACATTTTTTTTAAAATAGTCTTTCTAATAATAGTAGTTCTAGCCAATACACTTGATTAGCAATAATATTTTAAGAAAAAAACATCTATTTACTAAACGAAAAACAGAGAGACTTTGATAATGACTTGTGATATCTCACCATCCCTCCTAGAAGCCATCACCCTTACTTGTGGTCTTCTGTGGAACCCTTTGTTGGGTATCCCCAGAAACAGCATCCCTGGAGGGATAAGGATACCCCATTGGTGGTGAATATGAAATCACTGGTAATTGGTAAACGTAATATCATTCATTAGTATTATAACCTGTTACAGGACAAACTGTGAAGAAGCTTGAAGGAATCACTCAAACTGCGATAGGAAAAGAGAGGCAGAGACTAAATAGACATGATAATGAAGGATTTTGATAAAGAGATTGCTAAGCTATACACACACATACATATGGGTTGGCAGGGGCGGCTAAGGTAACTCGAGGAAGGTTCGAATATTGTGACAGTGTGAAGAAAGATGACTGTGAATAGCCTTTATAAGGCTGCTTCTTGCTCTGTTTCTCTGTGTTTATTTACCCAAAGGGCACAGAAAGATAACGGAGACAGACCATAAGAGGGGGAAAAAAGATTCAAGACGAGGACCACAGACAACTCAATTACTTCATTTATAAAATCAACAGAAATCTTGATTTGTGAGCTACATAGAGATCGGGGAAGCGGTACATATTTGATTAATGCAATATAATATTAGAGGGAATTGCTTAGACGTGATGAAGCAGCGAAGTTTAGGCATTTATAAAGCGGCCAAACTTGACCGATTGACTTTGAGGTGAGACCAAATTCGTTTTTGGTTTGACAAAAATAGTGTCGCTCCGTCCCTTTGAATTTGGCTCACGTGACTACTTTCCTTTTATGGCTGATGACTCGATTGGTCACCCAACCAGATATGGAAATTTATAAACATATGCCAAAGAAACACGAATCTGTCACTATATAGGCGGTTTCATTATTCTGGAAAAATGGAATGAATATTTCCAAAGGTTTTCAAGGATTTATATCAAAGAAGATATTCAGGTCCAGATTGTATTTCAGAAGATTTTGCTACCTGCAATTCACAAAAGACAATACTATTTCATTACAACATTTTTAACAAAGATTAAACATTTCGGACTTGAATTCTTAAGGGATATAAATGAAAGGTGCCCATTGATAGAAACTATCTAGATTTAACCCTTTTTTCATTTAGGTAATTTTGATATTATATATTTCGATAATTACATTGCTAACAATTTTCTGTTTTGGACCTGAAAGAGATTGTTAGTTTCTCATCCTTGAACTCTTGACAATAAGCACAGAACTAGGTTTGCTAATTTCATAAGTTGAATTCAGTTCCAAGAATGTGAATATAATACTTATTACAAGAAACATGCCCCTTTACATTATTATTCTGAGGAGTACAAAAATTGTATGAGAAAAAAATATGAAATCAAAAGGGACTAGCAAGAACAAATAACAAAGAAAGCAATCAAAAGCAACAATCCAAAACGCAACAACAGCAGAGAGCAGCACAACTGAAATGAAGAAGAGAAAGAGACAGAGGTTAATATTAGGGATTGGTCAATTTGAAGAGAAATGAAGAAAACAATAAGAATTCATTAGAAGAAAAAAAATTAAAGAACAGAGATATTTTGCAAACTCACCATCCCTCCCAGAAGCCATCACCCCTGCTTGTGGTCTTCTGTGGAACACTCTGTTTTGGGTCCCAAGAAACATCATCCTTCAAAGGATACCCTATCGATGGAGGAGCACTCACAGTCGGCGGCGGTGGATATGCCATCACAGGTGAAGGATATGACACTGCCAATTCATCATATAACATATATAATCTCATTAATTAACATTGTTAACCCCATTCACAAACACATTATAATGATATAACAGAGCAGTAGCTTGTTGCAAAAGAGAGAACTTACTGGGAGGACCTTGCTGATTGTAATGATGATTCATGATTGCTGAATACGATGCTCTTTTGAACTATATGAAAGATGCAGGTAGACTCGAAAATGAGATGAGATTAAAATGCTATATAGAATGCGCGCGCACACATATATAGGCATAGGTGGGTGAATGGTGGGCGGCTATGAACAGTGAAAGCGCGTGGTAGAGGGTAGATTCGGGGAAGGGATCGACCTTTCCATGTCCAAGGTTGCTGAATGGTCTATGTTTCCCTCTCAGAGTTGACAATATTATCTACTTTGCTTCGCCATTTGAAATGAGAGCCAAAGATACAAACAAGCGAGGGATCAAACACCATTTTCCCATGGAAATTCTTTCCGGATCATTTCTTCCTTACTCCAAAAAAGGTTGCAGATTTGGGAAGCTTCATATTCATGTTGGCTCATAAATTCCGAACACGTAGCATCGCCCATTTGTTGGTTGTTATCTACTGCAGCGTTAATGTCACTGTGGGATGCAAACACTGCCAGTAAACTACTAAAAGGCTATTCATTTTTGCCTCCACCCACGCAAATAACTAGTTACAGCTCTCTCTAATACAAGTAGTTTGTAATTGCAAATGTAAGGGTTTAAATAAAGAACTATAATGACACCTAGAAAAAAGACCCCAAATGATAGATCCCAAATTGCAAATGTTACATTGATTCATACCTGTTTTTGTTGTTGTGAAAGCTACTTCTTGCTCTTTATACAATGTAACATTTTGTTTCTTTTAGATATAAAAATCTCACCAGTCAAGGGGATAAATGTATACTGTGACAATCTTGTGGTCCACGGCACAATAAAACTTCCTATTTCGATTCCCTTGGTGCATCCATCTTTCCAAATGTGATGTTATTCAAGCAATATGGTATGCCTCCAGAAAGCTTATTTTGAGAAAGATCTAATAATCTTGAGCTCACATAAATGTATAGGAATTGAGCCTTCAAGTCTATTTTCTTTTATCTTGAGGACCCTCAAATTCAAAAGTGAGCCAACTAACCTTGGAATTCTACCGAAAAAGTTGTTATTCATCAAATCTAAAGTCAACAGTAAGGGGGAATTAGCCAAAATAGAAGGTATAGGTCCCATGAAATGATTGCCCTGCAAATGCACGTACTTCAACAATGGCATATTCATACAATTTGGTAAAGAGCCATCGAATTTATTTTGAGAAAGGCCTAGATATGTAAGTTTAGTCAAGTTGCAAAGGTTTCTTGGCAGTGAACCTGTTAAAGAGTTTTTGGACAAAATGAGAGAACTCAAATGTTGAAAATTTCCAATCCAGCTAGGCATTTCACCAAATAATTGGTTGGCACTTGTATTGAGTACTATTGATGACCCCACCTTGAAATTTTCCTTCGAAGTTATTGAGGTCAAAAAATAACAAATATGTGAAATTTGATCCTATGGGCAAACATGGGGCACTCAGGTTGTTGTTTGACAACTTCAAAAATCTCAATTCATTGTTACCCTCACAAAATTCTTGAGGCAAGTAACTAGATAAATTATTGTTTGACAAGTCAAGATCATTCAGTTGTCTCATTTCACCTATTGAAGATGGAAAATAACTTCGCAATGAAGTTGAAGACATATCAAGAGAAATCAAGTTGGGAAAAATGAAGCCAATATGAGAAGGCATTTCATCTTTAATGGGGTTAGAAGAAATATCAAAAGACTCCATTTGAAGTAATTTTGAGGTAGAATTGAGTTGAAAGGGACTAGTGAACATGTTATGAGTCAGATTGAAATTATTTAATTTTGTGTTGTTTGTCAAAAGCCAGGATGGGAAAGTTCCTGAAATGTTCAGGTTGCTAAGCCGTAGATCTTGCAAGTCATATTGATGAAGAAGAAAGGAAGGCATTTTGTTATTGTTGGTTTCATTCAGAGTGCAGTTGTGGATTCCGAAAGACCTAAATTGGAAGGAAGGGATAAATGGGGGATTCTCAGTTTCAAGCTTGACATTGGCATTAGAGCATGAAATGATAATGATTTTGATGTTGGAGTGGTTGGCAAGCAATGAGAGTGAAAATGAGCCACTAAAATTGTTGTCGGAAAGAAAAATTTCAGTTAGGGACTTCAAAGAACGGAAGAGTGAGGAAGGAAAGGTTCCTTCAAAATGATTTCGTCCAATAAAAAATGTACGTAGAGACGACAAATCGCCAAGGCATGCGGGAAGTTGCCCCTCAAATTCATTCAAGGAAAGGCCCAATAATACAAGATTCTTCATATTGCATAGGGCTCCTGCAACATACCATTTTTTTCATCAAATTTGTTTAATCAGTCCATCAATAAAAGTTTATAAAACTTGAAGCAATAGCTTAAAGATTCA